GGGCACCCGCGCCGGCACTGGGGCCCGGGCCAAGGGGACCTGTGGGCTCTGGAAACTCCGCCTCGCAAGTCCCTCGCCTTCAAGTGCCGGAGGCTGCACGGGAGTGGGGGCTGACCCCGTCCCTGCCCCTGTGCGACACTCCCTGCCCCTACGCCTGACCCCGGCAGTGGCACTTCTCCTGTTCTTATGGTTTTATCACTTGTAGTCATTTTCCTCTGGTTTTTCAGGGCCAAGGGGACCTGTGGGCTCTGGAAACTCCGCCTCGCAAGTCCCTCGCCTTCAAGTGCCGGAGGCTGCACGGGAGTGGGGGCTGACCCCGTCCCTGCCCCTGTGCGACACTCCCTGCCCCTACGCCTGACCCCGGCAGTGGCACTTCTCCTGTTCTTATGGTTTTATCACTTGTAGTCATTTTCCTCTGGTTTTTCAGGTCCGCCCCTGACACCAGCTCATGGTTGGGCCTCCAGCACCTTGGCACCAGGCAGAAACATGCTCCAGCCAGCCTGGGATGAGACACCAAAGGTCTCAGAAACCCAGCACTCAGGCGAGAGCAGCTTTACAGCTCTTTCTTCTTCTTCCGTCCAAACCTTGGAAGATACAGGGACGCGCATGTACATCTTAGTCGTCACTGATTTTACATTGGCAAGAATCACACCCAGTGCACTCTGCTGTTCAGCGTCTGCTCCCTGCCAGTGTGGGACACAGGAGACTGGGCAAGGTGGGCCTGTGGTCTGACCTGGTAAACGCCTGGGTTCTACTGCGGCCTCATTTCAAAGCAGTGTCTTCTGTTCCAATTAAAATACATAGACTACTTCTAATATTTTCCGAGAATGAAAGAGAAAAAGTGTGTATTTATTTGAGTGCTGTCACCAGCTGTTTACACAAATCACAGAAAGGTTGTGTTTCCTTGGATGAATGCCTAGACTAGAAGGAATCCATACATTTTGTTATCATAAAATACTTCAACTATTTTTAATATGTTCCCCTTCAGTGTCATAGATGATTGGAAAATGAGAGCGATGCTATAGGAGGATGTCGTGTAAAGATTACCTTGACGTGAGTTTGGGTTGACTACAGAAGTCTCAAGTAGTGAAGCTAACAGTGAGTTATTTTTTTTCCCAGTCAAATACCAATCAGACCTTTATACCATACCACTCAGTCATAATTTTTGCACATCCCATAAATCATTCTCAGGAAGCTATTGAATAAATATTTCAGGCTGTTTGCGGGTACTGTTGTTTACACTGTTGGACTAGCAAGAGCAAGCTGCTTTAGTCAGACAGCTGGTCAGACTACTGTAAATAATTGAGTCCTTTGTTCTTTTTCTGAGTCTTTCATGAACCAGTTCTAGTTTTTGTAAATGACATTAAGTATTTGCTAAATATTTGAGATAAAGTCTCTTCAGTGTAAAGGCCATTTGTTACTCAAACAATTCAAGATTTGCTGCCTGTAATTTGTAGTGAGTGACTGATTATGTAGGTCACATAACATTGTCTACTTTCTGATTATGTATGATTATATTCAGTTTGTTAATTATCAGTTATAAACTGAGGAATATACATGTTTGTGCAATAATGGGTCAATTTCCCCTACCTGTAAACCAGGTATCCAAATTACCTGAGGCATTGAACAATCTGATAGGTTTTTTTCTTTGCTTTTTGCAATTATTAGGCCACCTGACTAGTCTATGGCTTTCCTTTCTGTCCAGCTTCATGCTCTGGGCTGCTTCTCACAATTCCTCTGCACTAATTACTGAATAGCTTTAAAACAAATGTATAGATATAATCAATTATATGCAGCAGCAAAGACTGGGCACTGGCTTTTTCCTTTAAGTCACCCGTAACTCCTATTTAATTAACTCCAGGAACTGGTTAAAAAAATTTCTAGGAAGCCATCCCATTGGCCATACCATTGAGCAGAAATGCCATTGAGAAGAAATATGGGTGTATTTGCTCAAAGACAAATACACCCATATAAAAGGAAAGCTCTTTTGCAAATATTCTTGTGGAGAAACCACACATTTTCTGTGAATGTTGATAAATAGTAATTAAAAGTACAAGTCTGAATACATTAAACACTGGACTTCAAATGAACGGTCAACAGATCTTTGTTATTTAACCAGTTTTATTATTGTGAGGTCAAGCATAGAAGCACTGGAAGGAGAAAAAAATACAATGAATAAATGCTAGAAAATTACCTAAAATCACTTTTAACGTGAATAAGTTTAAAGGTCAAATAAAGTGGGTTCTACTGTGGCCTCATTTCAAAGCAGGGGTTCTGTCTTTTCCAATGCTAATGACACCCACCAATTTTCACTTGCAAGGTATTTGAGCTGGAACTGAATACTGAGCCTGGAGTGAGTGTAACTTGGGGAAAGTACTTCCACACCTGGATGAAAGGCAGAGAATCTCTTCCAGTACATCATTTTTAAAACAAAATGAAGTGTAAAGTATGCAAAGCTCCCAGGAATTCAGTATCCTAGAAGTCCTCATGTGCTTGTATAATATCACTTTAAAGCCTTGCTCTAGTTGGGGCTTTCATGCACTGGATAATGATAGGAACTGTTGAAGCTGGCAGAGTGTGAGACACTCAAAGGCATATAATAAATGCAAGTTATCACATTTCCATGATGAATCTAAGTATTAAATGCATGTAGATTTACCTGAAAATTATCTACTAAATTAATTGTAATTGAAAGCTGCTGTAATTAAACACTCGTGATAAGTAGACACCGATAAATAGGACACAGGAGGTTTCTACAGGTTCCTCCTTGGTTTTTATACTCTTCCCATGAATGCATCAGCCTATTATGGAACCAGAATTTACAGTCTAGCAAGCTATGGATATAAACTGTCCTGGATGTAGCATTCGTGTTAGTAAATCATCCTACATTTCATTCACAAGCATCTAGGATTATCAAAGCATTATCCCCTGGCTTACAAAGAACTGTTTCTTAATGAAGCAGCAATATTGCTTCCTAGCAGGGTCAAACCAGACCTGTTTAATATTTTGTTAATTTTCATGCAAAAAAGCATAAAAGCAACAGCATATCTTTCCTTAAGATCAGTTGCCTAAGTTTACAAAGGGTTTCCTCCTATGGGCAAAATGCAGTACAAAATCTACTCTACTATACTTAAGCAGCCTCTTCAAACATAAAAAATTTAGAAACTGTGTCTGTTTGAAGTTCATACAAATTCTACATTAAAAGAGTAATAATATAGTTGGAAAAGCTTGTGGATTAGGTTTGGGGAGTGAGATTGTACATCTCCTCAGCTGAGATGCCAAACTGAGGTTAATCTGTCTCTAAGAAGCTATAGGCCAGATTCTCTCTGAGAAATCCAGCCCCTTTGCACTCCATGCAACCCCCACTGTGGGTGACACGCCAGAGTGAAGATGCAGCAGGACTGGAGTGCAGTGCACTCTGGAAATCCCTAGCTGATATCACTCCCAACACCATAAACTAGAGCATCCCCCAACTGCTTTCATCTATGTTATAGTGAGGCCAGAGTAGAAGCAGCCCCATATGTAGGTACTGCAACCAGTCACAAGCCGTCCTTGCACAAGTCATCCTTATGACCCAATGCTGTGTACAATAAAAATTGGACAGAGCAGTGACTCTAGCCCTGTCTATTGAAATAAAACTTATTTTTTACTATTACCCAACAAATATTTTAATAAGATTAGTTGTTGTTTACAGCAAATATGTTAATAATTAAGATTCAAAGAATCCACAACTTTTTTTTTACATAAGATCATGCTTTTTATTGAAACCAACAAACTTCAGAGACCTCAGAAGTACATTAATTGTATAAAAAGGTATCTCTCAGTACAAATATTTGCAAGCAATTAACTTGTGTGCAGAAAACAGAAAACCTACCTATGTGTTGCCTTCATTATGCTGTGCAATTTTGCATCCTAACCGAGACAATGGAAATAATTCTTTTTAGCATTATTTTAGGAACCCATAGAACTTTCTTTGAAAGATTGCTATGATGAGCACTTCTTTTTCCAATAGTATTTTGTATAATCCACAAAAGCTAAGTAGTTAGCGACTAAACTGGAAACACCCATCTAAGACCTCTGGTAGCCATCTGCTCTGCTGTGTTTTCATTTGGTTCCATGTGTGTATTAATGAAATGATTGCATCAAATTATATCTTTTATTCATAAAATCATCTAGGTCATCTGCTTCCACTTACATTTACTCTTGCATGAAATGAATATATTGCATGATATGAATATTTGGGTACACTGCCTGCCTGCTTATGAAAACTCAGTATTGTTAGTCCATATTAAGAGAAATCTTTCTGTGTTTTTCCTTCAGTCAAAGTTCTTTTAGGGACACTAGCTGCACCTTTTTTCATCTACAATTTTCAAGTGAACGGCACCAAATGACAGGAGTAAAGGCCTCTACCCTCAGTACAGTGCCAATACAAGCTTTCCCTTCCATTACCTTGCCATTTTTTCCCCTCAATGAAAGGCAGTTCCTTCTCCATGCCTAGTCAACACCTGGCCACCACTGAAACCAGACACAATACTCCAATGGTTATATTTGTGATAAAAATGGCATATAAACTGTATTTTCACATGTATTAAATCACACTGCATGAATTCCATAAGGGGTTAAGGTCACAACACTGAGGATTTTACGCTGGTCTAGATGGAGAGATAACATTGTCCAGAGTACCCCCCAAGCCTCAGCCCATGTTAAGTCCACTTACTACATTTGCAGCTGAAAATTGTTATAAGTCAGCAGTCTTATGGCAAATCAAATAGTGTTCTAGGTGATAAAAGTAAAAAAAAAAGTTTTTATGGATATTAAATTAGGTTTTTAAATAACTTTACTTTCCCTGTGTTCCCATCTCTACACATTTATTAATGTGCTTTAACTATTCGCACCTAAATTTGATACCTGCAAAGCCTAAATTTGCCATTTTTAATGTGCATTAGTGATGCACATGTGTAGATGTACAATGCTTAACACTCATTAACTTAAGCTAATGTGCATTAAAGCCTCACATGTAGATGAGCCCATCATCTATCAAGTGAATTTAATAGCTGAAAAACGCATGGAAAATATAGATTTTAAATGAATAACCAGAGAAATATCTAAATGTGAGCATCTACTGGAAACATAATTGTAAAGGTTACACTATTCTAGTTAGGGAAGATACCATGTCCTCTACACCCAAGTCAGATACAGGGAGATACAAGGAACTATTCACAAATAAGCTACAGGCCCAGGGTTTTCCTCAGAAATTGTTTGACAAATTAGTCTGAATAACAGTTTGATTTCCTTTATACATCACTAATGACTGTGCTATCTGAGCATTTCCCAGTGTAGTGCAAGTAAACCATGATCTGATTACAGACAAACTGCAGTAATTAAGAGATAACAGTCATTGGATAAATGGGCTGTGACTTATTTGGCTATTCTTGAAGCAAGCTACAGTCTGTAACCTAAAAATCTGAGGCTGGTCACAGCTCACATCCTCAGTTGAAGTAAACTGGTACCTTTTCAGTGGGCACATCTACACAAGATGCTACTGTGCACTCATTACTTCCCATTTATTTAGTACTTGTATTAGCAAGTACTAAATAAATGCGCAGTAATCAGAGATACTGTACAGTAGCACTGGCAAATGTATTTTAGGTGACGCTACGGTGCAGTAGCCTAATAATACTGTGCAGTAGCATATTAGCACTGTCTGTGCTGTGACACACTACTGTGCAGTATGTTTTGGCTACTGTGCAGTCAGTGTAGACATGCCCAGTGACTGCAGTGGAGTTGAATCTATTTTCTTATCTGGCACCAGAAACATGTGAGAGTTGTTTTTTAAACAAATCTAGCTTGGGTTCCAGTTACATCCCATATTAATATTCCTTATTCATTAAAGCATGAATATCTTTTGAAATATTTGGACAAAAATGGCCATCTTATAGTATATACACCTTTACATTACTACTACACCAAGTTGTGTGCGCCAAGTAACATGCATTGTAATAACAGCATATCCTCAAAATGCAAGTTTTTTCTAATGAAAAATTGGCTGCCTCCTTGCAAGCTAAAAACATGGGGTTTTGGGGTGATATCTTTTATTGTACTAATTGTATAGTTGAAAGCAATGTTAGATAAGCTTTTGGTCTAATAAAAGATATCAGATTCACCCAAGGAACTTTGTCTGCCAGATAAGCTCTTGAGCTGAAGAAGCTCGAAAGCTTATATATTCTCTTTCCCAAGTACAGTTAGTCCAATAAAAGATACCCCCCCCCACCGCCGCAAAAAAAAAAACCCAACCCTTATTTCTTGAATATTTCCTGGACCATCACAGCTGTAATAATATTCCATCCTTGTCTGTTTTAAGAGCTTGTTCAAAACAAATGCAGCACTATGTGACTGTCTAGATGCATTATGGGTATGGCATTGACTAATGCCAATGCCAGGCCTTAAATTCAATGAGGTCTAACTATGGCAATCCTTACGTTCCTATTTTCTTTTCTCTTGTGACTCAAAGAATTAGTAACCCTAATGGAGCAGACTGTATTAGAATCCTGGGCCTACTAAAGTCAACGACACAACAAACATTGTTAAAGTCTCACTGGCTTCAGTGAGGTCAAGATTTGAAATCTCTTAGAATCTGAGCTGTGTATTTTAAAATCTCTAGTGGCCAAATAAACAGATAAGAAAGCTAGTGAATGCTACAGAAGAACTTGCATAGTAGAAAATAAGGGTAAATAGTGAGGAAAGAGCTCTGTGTCTTTGAACTTAAGCTTTTGTCTTCTCTCATAAGCTTCTTGTACTCAGTAGGAGAAAGGACAATTATTTATGAGAAGCCTTTCTGCAATATTTCAATATAAATTCAGTCACATGAAATGTTTCTTTTAGACAAAGTGCTTTGCTTTGACCTGTCTGCATTTGTCTCATTCAAATGCTGAATCCCTACATGCTCCCAGCTGCTTTTGATTTAGCAACAAGATTTATGGCAGAATTACTTTCCTTTGTTTTGATTGTTATACCACCATATGCCTTCAGTATTTCTGGTGCCCCTTACCCTCACTCCCCATCTCACCAGTCTCAGATGAGAATTCACATTATATTAAAGCAGTCCTACTGAAGACATGCTGAAGCAATCCACTGAAATAACTAGGGCAGTGCAGTGATTGATTTGAAAGTAAACTATTTTAGTGAACTGGAGTGAAAAGCTGAAGCACTGTGAAAAACGCTGTTGTTATTTTTTTCTTTTTTTTAACATCTTTTTGCTGTTCAAGAATTCTGCAGCTAAAATGTGAAAGGGAGAAAAATGATTATTTATATATAGAGATGTGTGTATACACAAAATGGGTTATTTGTAGTATGGAGCAGTCCTATAACATGTAAAAGTTAGAATTTTTTTTTCAATCATGCTATGTTTAACAGAAACTTCTCTCCCTACTATAAAGTTCTAGTGGAAGATCTGAAGAACCTAAACAGAAAGGATATTATTAAATTCTATAAAATTTTAGAGTAAGTTCCAAAGTGATGATTCTCAATCAGGATGCCACAGCACATAATTCACAAAATAAACTCAGAGATTTCAAATACTGATCCATAAGTTCAAAAACATGCTGTCCTGTTGTGCTCTTTCTGAGTTCTTTTTAACAAAATAATTGCTCTATTATGTTTGTGTAGTCAAAAGCAAGTGAAAACTAAGAGTTGGCATTTTCTCAGGAGTGTCTTGATTCTAAAAAAAGGTTGAAAACCACTATTTTAGAGAATGAAATTACTAGAATGCTTAGTGTCTGTGTGGATGGAGGAAGAGGCAAGAAGTAGATTAGTCAGGAAAGTAGCAAAAGGGATGTGGGCAAGGCAAAGGTAATGTGCATGTATCAGCCCCTTGCCTAAAGTTGTGTCACCTTTCTATGTACCCCAACATGCTCAATTGTTAGGCAAGCTGGACTCAACTACTAGCTAGAGAAACTCTAGCAGTATGACATTATTGGAGCTGTAGCAGAAGGTAGTGCAAAAAGTCCTAACCTGTTATGAATCCTGTGGGATCTAACTCTAGCGTGGTCCACTGGGGGTTAGAGACAAAAAAGCCGTTTTTCTTTAATGAAACAATTGGGGAGAAAGTATTGGAAAGAGAACATCAGAGATTTCTTACCTGTTAGTCCCACCCTTGAGTTTCCCCACAGCAGAGAGATGGAGTCTTGCTTTTAATTAATTGACAGATTTTTATAAAAAATACTGTTAGACCCTGACTCCATGCGGCACCCGACGACTAGGGAGACGACGATTCAATTGCCCATGGTTCCTGTTACTCATTAGCCAGAGCAAGCAGGGAGCAAACACCAGCACACATTGCTCACTACAGCTTTATTCAGAATGGAGACAGCTTTGGGCCAGGTCCCCAAAAACACAGGGACCTGCAGTGAACAGTAGTTTTTTCCCACATTTATACACTTTGGTTTATACTCATTAACATTTACTCCACCTCCGTCCCTCCTTCTGTTCCACCCATTTCTCCTCCCATCTCAAGCTCCACCTCTGTTTGCTGTATGCTTCATTAGCATCGAATTGCCTATGCATTTTACTCATTTACATGTCTTTTTCCTATGAGCGCATGGCTAAGACCTTGACTTCTTTTCTTCAGTCAATGGCCAGACTTTGACTAAAACCTGGAAGCTTCTGGAGGCTTCTTCACCAATCACCATGCACCTTTTTGCATATGTTCATCTCGGAATCTATTACCAAGTACGTGTTGTTTTCCACATTCTAGTCTGTTTTTTAGTCTCAGGTTGTACCATCTTCCACATTTCTAAAACGTCACCTCATTCACAGCACACAGACTCACACAGAATCACTTGCTGCTTTTTCCCAGAAAATGGTTAACACAATTAAGATGGTTACTTAACATAAGCAAATGGCTGGCTTAGATATCATTCTGCCTTGTGGTTAGCAGCTTTGCTAGGCCATAGGTCATGCCTTTATTCAGTTGCAAATCCAGTGCTCCCCAAGATACAAATATTGTCACCCCAACAAATACCAATTAGTTTAAACTACATTTTTAATTGCCCTTATAGTGAGTCTCCCTAAGAATAGGGAACTTTAAATCTATGAGGAGTATTCTGCCTCAGTTATACTGGTGTAAGTTTATATAAAGTTACTCTGGATTTAAAGCCTGATGGAAAGCCACTGAAATAAACAGGAATCATTCAGTTCACTTCAGGGACTCAGACCAATGGATATGAAGGGAAAATGTGGTCCTTAACTTGGTTTCTTAAAAACAGAACCATACAGATGTCCCAGAAGGTGCACTGGCACACCCCAGTCAAAAGCCCTCGCCTTGTCTGCAACTAACACCTAATAGGTCTGAGGAAGGCTTAAAACAAACAAAAAACAACCTCAAACCTCTGATACATGTAAAAGGAGAAGGGGAAGAAATTCCCTCTTGGCCCCATGGGGCAACCAGCAAAACTCAGAA